CAAGCTCATTTTCTCCAGCTTTAAATGGTAGGACTTGAACCAATGGCTTCAAGTTACACGAATGGAGATCCTGACGTCAGGAAGAACTTTCTGACAAGTAAGAGCTGTTTGGCAGTGGAACCGTCTCCCTCGGGAGATTGCAGACTCTCCTCCCTTGAAGGTTTTTACACAGAGGTTGGATGGCCATCTGTCATGGATACTTTAGCTGAGATTCTTGAATTGCAGGGGGTTGGTCTAGAGGACCCATGGGGTCCCTTCCAACTCTATCATTCTATGATTCTATGATTAACCTCCCCCCCCCCCGAGTTTACTGGATCTCTAAGAGGTCCAGCCGTACCGTTAGACCTGTGTAACAGCAGACTCAGCTGGCAGGGGGCAGGCAGTGCCCAAGTGTTGAGAGCACAGAGCTGTTGTAAGAACATAAGCAGAGCCCTTCAGGTTCAGGCCAATGGCCCACCTAGTCCAGCATCCTCTTCTCACAGTGGCCAACTAGATGTCCCAAACAGAAACCTCCAAGGAGGACCTGAGCGCAACAGCAGCTCTCCTCTCCTTTGGCTTCCAGCAGCTGGTATTCAGAAATATTACTGGCTCCAGTAATAGCCATCATGGCTAGTAGCCATCGATAGCCTTTGTGTGCCTGCCCTGGGCTCCCCAAGCAAGCCCACTGCCCTCAGATGCAGTGATGTGGTGGAGGCTGTTCTCCTGTTGCCAGGGGTTGAAACAAGGAAGGGTTTGCTCCACCAGTCCTCCTTCCTTTTCCCTTGCCACGATGCGATGGAAAGAGTGGGGAGGGATTATTTCTCCTTGGCTCCTCTCCCTGTCCATTATGGGATTAGTTTGGATGGCGGAAGGTTGAGGGCTTGGCCTTTGCCTGCTAAATGCCAAGGAGCGGGTTGCTGCCATTTGACGCTAGGAAAACACACCAGAGGATTTCTCAGCAGGTTAATTCACTTGCAAGCTGGAGAAGGCTTCTGTGATCTTGGCTGTGACCATACAAACTTCTGCATGACAACAGCCTTATATTCCTATTTATATAGGAGGATGTGAAGTCTTAGTTGTGTCTGATGTGCTCAGAGAGTGATAGGAGGACCTGTCCATTTTGATTCTCAAGGTTTCTCCTTTTTCAGTCTGAAATTCTGTTCCCCACTTTTTGCAGAAGTTTGCGATTCTTTTCTATTCCTCGTCAAAATCTACCAGCCTTTTAGTGTAGCTTTCTCCCATGAAACACACTTTTTACCTTGCAGTTTTGACGAATGTCCATATTTCTGCCAGCAATTTTCCTTAATGCATTGCAACTTTACAATGTTACTTTTACTAATCTGTTCATACACTTTCCCTCAATATATGCCTTTTTGTTAATGTTGGCTGGAGAACTGCATTGCAAATTTTGGATAAGTACAGATGGCTGCGTTTTGGTACTAAAATTGTTTCAGAAAGTGGAAATTAGTTTTCCTTTAAATGTGAACAGCCCAGTGCTCACTTCGGCAGCACATATACTTAAATGTGAACAGCCCCTACTCACCTTTGCATCTGAATCTTTGCACCTTTGCACTCAGGGTGGGGGGTCCGTTTCCACCAAAATTTGGTGGAATGAATTATGTCAGGAAAGGATGAACTACCCCTGAAAGAACATAGTCTCAGACAGTGTTTGCCAAACTTGGGTTTCCAGATGTTTTTGGACTGTAACACCCATCATCCCTAGCTTGCAAGACCAGTGGTCAGAGATTGTGCTGGGCCCGGGGGTAACCCAAGTAACGCGGTCCAGGTCCAGTCCCGAATCCAAGGGTTCCGTGAAGAGTCAGTCCGGCAGGGCCAAGGCAGGAAACCAGGCAAGGTCAGGCACAGGATCACAGGCAGGTTCTGGCAAACAGCAACGTTGCTCCGGCAACCAGCAGCCTTTTATCTTTGTCTGGGTAACGGCTGGTCCTGATCCCCCGGTGACTCGCTTCCCTGTCTCGCCCAAAGGCGAGCACTCTTCCTGTGAGTACTCAGGTCTCTCCTTCTCTCAGACCTCCGTCTCTGCAGCTCGGGAGACGTCGGTGGGTGACTAGACCCAGAGGATGCCTCAGCCTCTCCTGACCCAACTGGTAGAGGAGCAGCTGTAAGTGATTGCCCAGCTGGAGGCAAAGAGGTAATCCCCACATCTGGAGCTAGGGCAGGCTCAGGCCCCTGCAGGGGACCATGTGCAGACTGGGACTCTTCAGAATCAGGCCCCAGACTAGGTTCAGCTGCCGCCTGAGGCCAAGGATCCAGTGTGGAATGAGACTCCTCTGGCTCCAAGTTCGACCCCGAGTCCCAGGCCATCACAGAGATGATGGGAACTGTAGTCCAAAACATCTGGAGACCCAAGTTTTGGAAGCACTGGTCTAGAAGTATTGCAAGATTCAGCATCTCAATAGAGTCCAAAGTGGCCGAGTGCTGAGACTAGAAGTGTCAGACTGCTTTTGAACCAGGATAGCCTGGACTCCATTCTCCAGAGATCTCCTGGATTGACTACCGCAAAGCGTTCTATGTGGGGCTGTCCTTGACGGTGGCCCAGAGGCTGCAGCTAGTGAAAACAGCAAAGGCCCCTGTCTGTATAATGTAATGTCGTATGTTTTATCAAGAGAACTTGCTCGGTAAACAGTGGTCCGTTGTGAAATTGGGTATTGCAAATGGAAAAAGGAAAATGTAATCCATGGGATTAGAAATGCACAAAGTCAAGAAACACATGTCAATAGAAATCTTCAAACAAACATGAATGTGCTATTCATAATACCTTCCGTGTTGCTTTAACAAACTGCAGTTAAAAGAATCTAATAAAATTCTGTCCAAAGCATGAAAGTAACATTAATGTGTTTCACTTTAAAGTAGCAGGAAGCCTGCTGCCTTTGTCTACAACACAAGCAACAACGGCATCTGCAGAAGTCACATCTTCTCCGATCTCCATTGCGGTGCCCCCATCAAGTACCGAAACTGAATCCAATACCACCACAAAGACAACAGGACCAATAACAACATCTGCAGAAGCCACAGCTTCTGTGATCTCCACTGTGGTGCCCCAATCAAGTACTGAAACTGAATCCAGTACCACCACAAAGACAACAGGGCCAACAGTGACATCT